CGCGCAGCATTCGTTTCGCTGCGTCCGCCCCTGCCGGGCCTCTTCATCTCTGACCTCCGCGTCATGATGAAGCTCGCGAACTTCTTGTTGCGTAGGCTTCTCCCAGGGTCCCTCTGGCGTCCGTCTGACCAGTATGCCTTCTGCTTCATCCGCTTCGTCCAGTGCTCCCGCTGCGTCACCAGCTGCACGCCTGGTCAGTGATGCGACCTTGCGCTGGTGCCTGTAGATACCGTTGGACTCGTGCCCGCAACCAGCCTGGTTGCCAGCTCTCGTCACTTTGTGGTACACTTGGCTCTTGCTTGGCGCCCGCTCCATAAGCAACCAGCAGCGCTGCTAGACGCTGCGCACGGTCAAGGCTCCTCTTCCCACTGGAGCTAGAGCTTGTAGGGAGGGCCAGGAGTCGTCTGCGCAGAGCCGTGCTGTCCGGATTGCCTCCATCTTGTCCATCTTATCGAAGTCTTCCTGCAGGTTCTTGAGGATCTTGGCAAAGCTTCCGGGGCCGACGTTCAGGTTGGTTTGCGTCAAATGCACTGGTTCGCCATGCTCTGCATCATGGATTGCCCGCAATAATTCGGCTATAAACAAGCCAACAAAGCTCAAAAGGCTCTGCACTGTTCTGGCTCTCCCCTCCGGGCCCTGACCCTGGAGGTTGTTGATGATCATAGTTGTTGTGTTTTGCGTCAGCACGTTGAGCCCTTCACTGCTGTTCATAGGATTTGTGAGTCCTATGATATCCGTCCACCAACGGATTCGCGGGTCCAAGTCGTCCAGACCAGGAATGGTCGCACCCCCAGCCGAGGAGGCGCAGCTCCCTCATTTTCCGGTTCCTCCACGCATACCTCGACCTCATCATCTACCTTGGCTGCGGGCCTCGTCCATGGCGCTTTCGGGAACGGCCTCGTCGCACTGGTGTGTCTCCGCGAAGGTGGCGGTGCTCTAGATGGTGCCCCCCTAGTCCATCTCTCCCTGTTGGCAGCTCGCTTGGCGGCATCAGAAGCTCTTTCCCTCCTTCTCCTTCTCGGCATAGAAAATCTGCCCCTCTTTCTCCTTTGCATCAATACCACGACCTCGTCACCATTCTTTTCAAGCTGGGCAGGGTCACTACGGAGGTGTTCAGAGATCATCTGCTTCTCAAACCCTGTGTTGAAGTTTACCATCCCATCTTTTTCCATGCGGGGTTAATGTTTTTAGGGTTTAGGGTTTTTAGGGTTTAGGTGGTTTTATTGCTTCTTGTGATTTGTTAGGGAATTTTGAATGGTTTTACGGTTGTGTTTTTTTTGGCCACACCTTTTTCCGTCTGCACGGAAGGCCCACTCAGGCAGGTGCATATACGTCCAAAAAGAGGCAGTCAAGCACAAATGCAACAGCTGCTTCACGCACTGCGCACGCGAAAGCACTCCGACCCAAAGTCCAACTTTCAATCACTGAACCGTCAAATGACAGGAGTCACTGCAATCCTACCATCAGGCCATAAGCCGAGGCAAGCGGAATCAAAGAGGAGCAACCCTACAGGAAAATCCCTTACCAGACAACCTGTACAAGGCATTTCCTCCCTTCAGATGCACAAAGTGAGCTCGTGGCAACCAAGGAAGGAGTCAGTCTCCACCACTCTGGGCTGCGAAACACTCACGCCATCTCCACACGGCCAGCCCATGGGAGATCTCCACCACATTGGTCTGGGCATGGTCAGTGTCCACCACCAGCGCGGATGCGGCCGCACTATTGTCCACGGTCGGGTCTCCATGACCACCAGTTCCAGCAGTAGGCGCAGCCATGTGCTCCACCACATGGGTATGGCCATGGTCAGTGTCCACCACCAGCGTGGATGCGCCGCACCATTGTCCACGGCCAGGTCTCCATGACCACCAGTTCCAGCAGTAAGCGCAGCCACGTGCCCAACCCCATCGCCAGCAGCCAGGCCTTCTCCAGGAAGGGAAGGAGGCCGGTTTTCCATGTTGTCCAGGTCGTTAGGGGCCCTCTCCGCCGAGCGAGCTTCTGCATCACCATGGGGCCAGCGTTTTCCCTGTTCCCATGCCCACAGGCCCAGCTCAGTGGCCTTTTGCTGGGCGCGACGCCTTTTTGCGGTGGGGTCAAGCCACCCTGTAAGGCTCTTTCATCTTGAAACCTTTCCAGTGTTTCCAGACCGTACTCTGCCACAATCTGCTCATCGGTGAGGCCGCCCTGGTACGAGCTGTTAAAGAGCATCCACTCCACCATCGTGAGAGGACGTTCACCAGCTGCTGGACGGCGACGAAGGCGGAACAACGGCAGCGTGGATTCTCCGAATCTATCCACAATAACCTCATCAGGCACCACGCCATCAAGCCATAGATGAAGGTATGCTTGAACGAGCTCATCGGAATGGCCGTCGATGTGCAGTGCCTCAACCGGGGCCAACGCCAAAGCCTCGATCATGCTGCGACTGTGTTGCCCGTTCCATAACGATGTCATCGAACTCTTGCGTGCCCACATCTGGTTCAGAGTCAGGCTCCTCGTGCTCAATTGGCCCGGCCGACGGGCCTTCAGCGTCCATTAGCACGGTAGTCACACTGAGGCGAGCCGCCCTGCGGGATTTGAACCAGCGCCTGAAGAAATTCTGCAGAAATGGGGTCAGGGCCCACGCATTTCCCTTGTTTCAGCGACGACACAGCCTGCAATACTTCCTGCTCTGTTAGTGGCCTCAGTGGTTTAGCGTTTTTAGGGTTTAGGGTTTTTAGGGTTTAAGTTGCTTTTAGGGTTTAGGATTTTTAGGGTTTAGTGGCTTTTCAGGCTTAGGAGGTTTTTAGGGTTTAGGTGGCTTTTAGGGTTTAAGGTTTTCAGGGTTTAGGTGGTTCTATTGTTATTTAATATGTTTTTTGTGAGTTTTTAATGTTTTTAGGGTTTAGGTGGCTTTTAGGGTTTAGGTGGTTTGAAATGTTTAGTGTTTTTAAGGTTTAAGGTTTTTTGGGTTTAGGTTTTGTTTTAAAAGTTTAGGGTTTTTAGGGTTTAGTGTGTTAGGGTTTAGGGTTTTTAGGGTTTAGAGTTTTTACGTTTTAGGTCGTTTTTAAGGTTTAGGGTTTTGAGTGTGTAGGGTTTTTAGGGTTTAGGGTTTTTAGTGTTTGGGGTTTTTAGGGTTTTTAAGGTTTCTCGGGTTTAGGGTTTTTAGGGTTTAGGATTTAGGGTTTTTAGGTTTTAGAGTTTTTAGACACGCGCATCAGGGTTTAGGGTTTAGGGTTTTAGGGTTGAGGGTCTTTAGGGTTTAGGGTTTTTAGGGATTAGGGCCTCTTATGGTTTTGTTTCTGCTCGGTAAGTTTGCAGGCCTCCAAGGTTCAAAAACCATAAAAATCTCACTTCGTCCAAAACCTTAGAAAAACTGCAAATCCAATGGCCCTGCCAGTGTCTTCGAGATTCCAAGAGGGAACAGAGGGCCTGAAATTCTAAAATCTGAAGCCCGGCTGGAAAGCAAAATCATTGGCCCTGCTAGTATGTCGGGATTCCTCCGGGCAAACCTCCCTTCGCTGCAGAAGTAATAATAGTAGTCGTAGTAGTAGTAGTAGTAGAAGTAGAAGTAGAAGTGGTAGTAGTAGTAGTAGTAGTAGTGATAGTAGTAGAAGTAGTAGCAGCAGCAGTAGTAGTAGTAGCAGTAGTAGTAGTAGTACTAGTACTAGTAGCTCATAATGAAAATAGTCATGATAACACTGGTGTATTTTCGATCATTATTATGATCCGCACTACCTCCCCCTACAGCCAACATGATGATGATATGCTTGTTTTATGGTAAGCATGGATGGTTTTTTACAAAGCGGGGGGGTTGGGGAGGCCGCAGCCCCCCCCCATTTGCCAACAAAATGATCCGCAAACGCTTCCCCTACTGCAAATATGGTGATGACTCATGACATGTTTGCTTTAACCGTAAGCATGGATGGCCCCTTCCTTCCTTCCTGCCTTCCTTCCTTCCTTCCTGTTCTCCTCCCGTCAGGGTGTGGTACTCCCCAGGAAATTAGCAATATCTTTTTTATTCTTAAAAAGGTATTTTTGATGCTTACAAAATTTTGTCAAGCCCTATCCCTTGAGAGTTTAGGGTCTCAGGTACACAGGTTCGGGCTTTTGCAGGTTTAGCTGCTTCGATTTGTGGCTTTAAGACTTCAAGGGCCCTTGAGTTTCGCTTGCTCAGGCGTTATGATTTGAGGGCTTTTGCTACAGGGCTTCGGGATCAGGGTCTTTGGGTTTCGGCTTCAGGTGTTGCCCGGTTGTTGGTCACACTTGTTTTTTCTCCCTTTGGACTTTTACGTTATAGGCTTGGAGTATGAAGGTTCCAAGGTGTTCCAGGTCCTGAAATTATAGGCCTTAAGTTTCAGGTGGTATTTCTAGCAGCTCATGGATTTTGAGGCTTTTAGTGGCTTATGGTACGGCACGGTCTAGAGCCTAGAGTTGAGGGTTTCAGGAGCTTTGAACTTTGTCTGGTCTGGAGTCTTGTAGGGTTCAGGGTTTCAGGGTCTTGTGTTCCAACGTTTTCGGGCTGAGGGTCGTGGGTGGTCAGTGCTTGGGGCAGTTTTGGGTCGTAAAGTTCAGGGTTCGAGGGTTTCCAGGTTTAAAGCGCTTCATGGCTTGTCAAATTTGGTGAAGGTTTAAGGGTTTGTGTGTTTTGAGGTTTTGAAGGTTTGATGGGTTTCAGACTTTCTAAGTTTTTAGACTTTATACTATCTTTAGCATGTGTTGCGGTTCTAGGCTTCTAGGGTTTAGATGCATTAAGGGTTACAAAAGCGTCTGGGGTTGCGCAGGTTGGGGATTGGGGTCTGAGGCATTTGGGGTGCTTGAAAGGATATTGGGTTTATGGTGTTTTCGGAGACATTGTCCTTTGACCAAACAAATCACAAGCAACTTGACCCGACAAACTCCGGCCAAAAAAGTCTCACAAGCGGTTAAAGAACTAAAACGTCACAAGAAACAAAGGGTCATAAACGATGGAAGCTGCATTACGGACCACAGGCCTAGGCCTGCTTTTTGCTTGGTCAAGGCTCTTCATTCTTCCAGCCTCCGCTAAACTCTGTTGTATCGCCACGGCCTGCCCACACTGCTAGCATCACTGATGATGTGTACAATTGCAGTCCTCTGAAGTGTTACTGGAGGTCATGCCTCACTTTGGTCTCCGAAGTCATGCATGACGTTCGTGGCGATTTCCGCGCTGTCCTCGCGAATCTAAATCTGCGAACCCACACGATTACAGCACTTCTGCTTCACCGACGCAATGCGTAGGCCTGGCTGTGCTGCTGCTGCGCCTTGCCCGCCTGTGGCCAGGGAGAAACCCTTGGAAGAGTTCTCATGCTGTTCAGGACCGGGTGTTGACACGCTCAAACATCTGGAAATTGGGCCGGAATATGTCCAGGGTTCGGGCTCCAGGGATAGTTTCGTTGCCTATACCTATGCCGCCTATGCTGTGTGTAAAGCCTTACAGGCACAACCGCCAAAACTTACCAAGTTGTCCTTCATGGGAAATGAAAGCTTGTCATGCGTGACCATGCACCTCATTTGACCGTTACTTTAGGATTCCGCAAGGTAAAACATGTTCTAAGTAGGACAGGGCGGAAATCGCTGTGGCCTCCCGCATCTCTGTCTCCAGCGCAGCCACATCTGCTGACGTGCGTTCCAGCTCCGCAACTCGCCTTGCCAATTGCCGAATTCAAAGCATGCAACTCATGACACGTCTAGCCTCGGCGGATACGTCAGGCCGAGATCGCCATACAAACGGAAGTTGACAAACCTTGTGCATCAGTCATCCAGCCACATCATCTGTCAATATCTGCCAATTGTGTCTGGAAGTGCTTTCTTCAAACCCTCTCCAAGATATCCAAGTATCGCTTGCTGGGATCCTGGCTTGACCATAGCACGATAAAACTCCAGAAAGGTGAGCATGACACGAAAATCTACCTGTTCGTGCGTGCTCAGGATGCTACAAATAAACTTTAGGATACCCTCCGCAGAGCGGTTTGCATCAACCAGCTCCGTGTAACATGACGCAGGGCTGTTCACATGAAACGGAACTTTTGCTGCAATCCGTACACAGAGGGCCTCCGCCGGTAGCTCCTGAGAGGTCGGTTTTGGAACAACTCATGTGAAGCCAGGGCAACGCCTTGCCTGTGCAAACTGGTGGGGGGCCAGCCAAGTGACTGAATGGCCAAGGATGTCTGCCTGCAGCAGTCGGAATGCCCACAGATTTACACGCGTTGATCTGATGAAAAGGTTCTTGTTGAGGTTTATATGGTGCGGTGCCTAATCCAATGCCACCGAGGTCATTGGGAGATGTCCAGTCCCCCCGAATATTCAAAACCAGACAGGAGCCACGAACCCGAATGCAGACACGTGTCACGTACATGCAATGATAATAACACCCCACGAGCGAAACGACTTAGGAGA